CTTTTTCATCATTATTCTTTATTCATTTATTTAGTGCAGGGTCTAAACAGAAGATCAGACTCGTAGTGATCCTTCTGTTTCAGGCTCCCCAGCACGGAGATTATGGGTGTGCACCAACATACCCAGTCTTGATGGCCCCCATGGCATGCCTGGGGTTCTGGGACCAGCACGGTATGCTGTACCAGGGATCCAACCTGGTCCTTGTCCTTGCCAGGCAGGCACTTAGACTACTGATCTATCTCCTCAGCCCATTATTTCTAAAATTAGTAAGCTATTTACTTGAATGTTTAAATCATTAGTTAATTTATTAATCTAACACTCACAGGCCTATTCTAATTTGATGGCAAAATTATCAAAAGCAACAATGGAATTTACAGAACTGTTTTTAGTCGTGATGCAAAGCCCACAGGCTGAACAGCTTATTCTCTCTGGGAGAACTGTGCCAATTAATTTCTTAGTGATGGTTAAAAAGAGTCACCACTGATGCTTAGATAATTTAAATATTTCATGACAAAGCCCAGGGAGATAGCACAGCAGATTAAGCAATTGCTTGGACTATCATAGGGTTCGATCTCCAGCACCAGATGCCATGCAGGCCCTGCCCCCAGGAGGGCTGAGCAGGCCACCAAGTCCAGGCATGGATGCCCACACCTGTAATCCCAGCACTGGGGAGGCTCGAAACAGGAGGATCTCTGTGAGTCCCAGCTGTATAGTGAGCCCCTGTACCAAATACATCGAGATATATATCACGATAATCTCAAGTGCTGGTCCTGAAGCATCCTCAGCTCTGAGTACAGACGGCACCCTATCCAGGTACGGCTTGTCAGGCTCCACCACTCCACTGGCATCAATCCCAAGATCAAATCACTCCACCCTCCTCACACATTTGTGTGACTGTTTTACTTTGTTGCTATGTCCTTGTAAAAATTCTGTGCAAACCTTCACTTTTGGATAATTTGTCTGTTTTCTACCAAAAGATTATTTATTAAACCATAAATCAGTGAGAAGGAAACGTTCAGTCAATACATTGGGCTGTACTTGGAGAGAGGAGGAAGTGGAAGCAGGGCCTCTCCTGGGAAGGGAGAAAATATGTTTCCTGGGGACCAGAGTCACAGATTCTGCGGCAGTGCCTAGGGGTGCAGGAGCTCTTGGGTGTGGGTCAGTAAAACGTGAAACATCAAGCAAGAGCATATACAGGATAGCCGAGATGACTGTCCCACTAGCTTCATCAGCTCATAGAATACAGCAGTTGATGCTTAAAAGTGTTACTTGGGCTAGCTCTATATTCTGGAGCTCTATCAGCAGCTGTCACGGAAGACGGCAATGTGCAACACAAAACCCACGGCTCGATACCTCTCATCCTGTTCTTCCAAATGTGTATCATTTCTAATGTCTTATCAGTGATGTTTTGCTGTTGTTTTATTCTTTAAAAAATAAAATAAAATTTAGCAAATTAAATATAAATATGACGAGCCACTAAAAAAATCATTTCTGGCTACATAACACTAATACATAATGCTTTGGCATTATCATGTGTCACTCCACAGTCGCTGTGGTTGATTAGTTTTTAAAATATGACTCACCGGGCAGGTTTCTTTTCCTCCAGAGATGCACATTTCATAGAAAGAGGACCCTATAAGACTGCACAAAACACTTCTCCAATGAAACGTTTACAGTGAGTGTCTCCCCTGGCTAGATACCCCAAGATGCAAAATTCCCCCATTCTACCCATCAGGCTGACCTGTCACTTATAAAATTTGGTTTTCCTTATTTTCACCTTGTTGACAGAGGTAGAGAAAAATCACTAAGGAAAACCTTTTCAAAAAATGAGTTTCTTAGAAAAAAAAAATGTTCTCTCAGGCTGGAAGCTATTCTTTTATAAAAAGAGGGAGAAAGCAAAGAAAGAAACAAGAACAATCTCAGTTGATATAGACATACATAAACATACTTATGTTTGGGAGTGCAAGTCTGCAATTCAATATTTTCTATGAAGAGACTAGAATATACTTTATCTTTGATCAACAAATAAATACGTTAGGTTTGGCGCATGACAGGCAAGTCAATGATGAGAGGAGCCCCAAGGCCTCTCCCTTGTTCTGGGGTGACAGTGTTGACATCACGCCTCGCAGGACCAACCTGAGCGCATTACCTTGGAGGCAGCATCGAAGCAGATAAAGCCTGTGCTAAAGTCGATCGTGAGGCCCATGAGATGGCTCTCCAGTACACACGCGTATGTCTTGCACTGGACAGAGAGAGCACACTGTTAGTTTGAAGAGCATGCGACCGCTTCTCCACAAAGTAGTTTACACGACGCTTGACTCAATACCAGAAATAATGGCATAAAGAAAGTGATACCATGAACCTCTTACTGTAATAAAAACACAAGCGAAGAATGTTTCTTTGATCTCACCAGGGATTCCTAGGCTCCAATTTCCAAGCGTGTCCCTCACTGCGTGTCTGCATTGTACAAAACTATTTTTTTCTTTTCTTTTGTTTTCTTTGCTCTTCTTTTT